CCTAAACCTAACCCTTACCTTTATGTGAATCGGCTTGCTTTAATTTTAATTTTATTTCAATTTTTAATTTTTTTCGTCGTGCAGTGATGACGTCACAGGCGCGCTTTCGTCGAGCGCGATTTTGTACTCCGCGGTTTTGACGGGTCACGAATCCAAAGAATTTCTGGAAGAGAAAGAAACCTACAACCCAGTAACACAACCTAATACATAAAGTAGATAACCTGATCAAGCCTATTAACAATCAGAAAAGAAGAAGAGAGGAGATGAAAAGCAGTGGTCCCATCCTCCCATGCTTTTTGGATGCCCCCAAATACAAAAGTCCAGCATATCTCTTTTTCCAGTTACATCATTACCAGGAACCCCAACATACAACATAGCTAAAGAAATTGCAAAAAAGCTTGGACATCTCACAGAGGGAAGCAAATATTCTAACAACTTCCCATTATGATGGCCCAGAAAATCAAAGACTCAATAATAGGTGAGATTATAATTTCATTTGATGTCACAACACAGTTTAAATCCATAAACTCATAACTAGTGAAAGAATCCATAGCAGCAGTACTACACAACACATCTTACCTTACTAAATACACTAAGACCAAAACACCCAGAATCATGGATCTCTTCAACTTCTGCCTCTCTATCTACTTTCAGTTTGATGGTCAAATATACCAATAAATTAAAGGAACACCCATGGGATCACCACTCACAGGACTCATAGCAGAGACTCTAATGCAGCATCTAGAAATATAGCACTGCCATACATAAGTGTTTTTTTTCCCTCCAGTGGGACCGGTCTATCAGGGCAACCTGGTTTATCCAATTATGAGATGGAGCATACTGCTTCGGTTGTTGGTCAAATACACTATAGTACTGCCCTACATGCAACCAAAAATATGGATACAGTATGTGGATGACACCTTCGTCATAATAAAAAAGGAACAAGAGAAGACACATGAAACAATCTGCAACATCTTCAAAAGAGTAAAATCCATTAGGGAATTAGGCAACAGCGACACACTGTCTTTCTTGGATATTCTCAGTAGCATAAGAAATGGTAGCACATTAAAAATACAGTTCTATCAAAAAACCACCCACGCTATCCAAACACTCCACTGTCAAAGTAACAACCAAGAAGAGTTATGTAAGAACATTACTCAGATGAGCACAAACGCACTACAGCAATCCAGAACACCAGAAAAGGGAACAGACCAACATCTTCCACAAAATGAATATCCAGACAACTTTATCAAAAGTTGTCTCAAAACCATTCAACCCACTACAGCACAACCAATTCAAGCTATGAAGAAGGATAATATTGACATACATAAAAAACATCTCAGAAATAAGCACCTACTATTACAACCATGTAGCATCATCATAGCACACAATTCAATTAAAGCCCTCCAAAACTTAAGTAAACCAAAAGACTCAGTGGCCCAAAGGGGCAGGGGGAAGCTTGAGTCATCTACAACACACTGTTAATAGCCACTACCTCTGTAGGACAGGAAGACTAACAGCACATATCCATGAATATCAACTAGCAGTCAGAAGATACAATGAAAACTTCTTAATTTCACAATATGGGGACAGACTCAATCATAGTTTCAACTGGGAAACTCGGTATACTAGACAAAGACAAATCCATAAACACGAGGGAGTTTCTGGAAACTTGGCACTCAGACAAATCAGCCATCAATAGACACATAGAGATAAACCACATTTACAAATGATTCAAAACAATAAGAAAGCTAAAAAGGAAACAAAAATCCCACAACACACCCTCTACAGCCAGATAAGCAGGGATGAATGCCAAAGAACCAGAAAATAATATCCTAATAGCAATAGCACTTAGGCTTATATACCACTTCAAAGTGCTTTACAGCCCTCTCTAAGCAGTTTACAGAATCAGCACATTTTCCCCAACAATCTGGGTCCTCCTTTTACCCACCTTGGAAGAATGGAAGGCTGAGTCAACCTTGAGCCTGATGAGATTCGAACTGCCAAATTGCAGGCAACTGGCAGTCAGCAGGAGGAGTCCGCAGTACTGCTCCCTAACCACTATGCCACCATGGCTCAAGAACTACGAAGAAGACCATGCCCCCACCAACACTGGCAGGGCAAGTGACTGTATACTGTATACAGGGAGCAAATCCCACATTCACTAGCACTAATGATGTTACCTAGTTAGGTAATGAAATGTCTTCAAGCAAGCAAGGAAGTACTGAGAACAGTTCAACCCTGAGCCACATACATATTCTCTTCTATTAGACAGCATGAGTTGGAGAGAGCACCAAGTGAGCCATTCTTGGTTCAGACAGAGTCAAAGTGATAGGAGGAAGGGAGAAATGTGTGGCGCCAGCAGAAAGGGTGTTTCTATATTATATTCACACATATATGCTCTTTTCTAGGAGGCTAGCATTTTCCGATACTGCAGAGAGCTGCAGACCAACACTATCTTCCAGAGCATATTTCTATGTCAACAGAACTATTCTTCTTGTCAAGCCCACGCAGTGCCATATATTAAAAGGCGTAAAAGAGAGCCGGGGAGTGCTTCAAAATAACTCGCTAACAGTCACTTTGCTCCCCTGAGCGGTCAATTTACCTGGACCGTACCAAGAGGGTTCCGCGCCCTGGGATGATGGTGGTGGTGAAGAAAAACCAAAAGCACTGAAATAATCCCCCGATTATTATTTTTTTGTCCATTTATATTTCCCAAATCAAGAGTGGGGAGGGGGGCGCTCTTCGTCTTAGTTTTGACGCACGTGGAGGGACGGAAGGCGGGAGACGCCTGTTGCTCGGGTAGGCAAAGCTGAGGCAGGACGATCTGCGGCTGCGCCTGGGGAGCCGCCTCCGGTTTCAGAAAAAAACGCGGCGTTCGAACTCAGGTGTGTCGCTCACTACAAATCCCAGCCGGCTCCGCGGCGGGAGGTTTTTGCCCCGCAATTTACCTCGTGTGTTCTCGGCCAACTGGACAGGAGGGCGCCAGAGAGAGATTCCTCCACAGCCGAGGAAGCGGCGGCAGGTGACGGGAGCCTCCCGGGGAACGGTCACCGTCTCTCTCTCTCACACACACTCCGTGGCTCTCACGCCCGTCGTCCTCCCTGGCCGTAGCTGTCATGGGTGAATTCTTGAACCAAGCCGCCCTGGTGGGCTTCCTTCGGGAACACGGCGGCAAGGTGCCCAACTCGCTGCTGCTCGGCCACTTCAAGCCGCTGATGGACGTGCCCAACGCCGCGCCGGAGGACCGAGCGGCTCTCCGCCAGCGCTTCGTCCGCTTGGTCAACAGCGTGGCGGTCGTGCAGGTCTCGGAGGGGATCAAGTTGGTCGTGCTCAAGAAAAGGCACCAGTTGGTCCCGGATTCCTCCGATGCGGAACCGACATCGATCGCCTTCGGGGATCTGTCTGACGAGGAAACAGAAGGCGCCGATTCTGGAGCGCCCGCTTGCCCTGCCGGCTTCGTGGCGCCTCTGAGCTCGCCTGGGGAGGAGGACCCTGAAGCACATCGGACTATCCCTGTGAACCAGTTGAAGACCCTCTTTCAAAGGGGAGGCTCGGAAACCCTCAAAGTTCCCAGGGTCAAAGAGCATTTGGCCCCCAAAGGTGCCTCCCCAAAGCCCTGCATGCTGCCGGTCCGCTCGGTGCCCCCTTCTAGCAACGCTAAGAGATCTGAGGAGTTGAGCCCTGAGCAAAACAGGATCCCAGTCCAAGAGGGTCTCCAAGTGGATCTCTCTGCCACCCTCTCGTCTACCTCCCCTCCTACTAAGAGGCCGCAGGTAAATGAAATGGGGCCCAAATCCTCTTCCCTTAGAAGGGGTACAAAACCACTAAAGGTGGGTGAGGAAGCTGACAGCACGGCCAGTGTGCCCTTGGAACCTGCTGAGCACCAGTGGGTGGTGAATGCCACAGCCGGCCAGTGGTCCCAGCAACTTCACGGCTTGCTGCTCACTGACTTGAATCTGGCGAGCAAAAGAGATTTCATGAGCGGCTTCACGGTTCTCCACTGGGCAGCTAAAAGTGGAAATTGCCAAACACTGAGCAAAGTCATAGAAATGGCTGAGAAAGGAGGTGTTCACATTGATGTAAATGCTAAGTCCTTCGGGGGTTATACTCCACTCCATATTGCTGCTATCCACGGGCAGGAAGAAGTTATTGCCCAGCTGGTCAAAGTTCACAGTGCCAAAGTCAATTTAAGGGACTATAGTGGGAAGAAACCATTCCAGTACCTAAAAGGAGGTTCTTTTGCAGTCAGGCATCTCTTAAATGACCCTGGTCTTCACACCAACACTGGACAGAACCCTTCCACCAAGAAGAACATAAAAGTGGCTGCTTCTATCTTGAGTTCCACCAGCACCGTCCTGGGGCTTTTATCTGACGATATTGCCTTCTATGAATTGACCAAAGGCTTGAAGAAACCTGCTCCTGTCAATAAATTTCTTAACATAGCCACAGCCCCTAGGAGGAAGTTGAAGTCCCGAAGGGCTTTTTCTTCTTCTTTTTCTTCCTTGTCTCAGGCCCTGGAGGAGGAACAGAATGAAACTGCATCAAAACACAGGCCACTTTCAGATTTATTCTTTGGTCACTTACCTCACTGACATCAAGTAATATCAACATTTAATTAAGACTTGGGTAGATCTCGCATTTGCAGGAAAACATTTTGCTTTGTAGTTTTGAATGCATTTCAATTTAAGCCTAATCTAAGGAGGAAAAAGAATTATAGGATGATGATTTAACTTGATAGTTGCTGCTTTCCAGCATTTGATAAGACATATTTTTTTCAACCAAATCTTCATTTATTAAATGTGAATTGATGAAGTTTCATCTGAATTTTATCTATTAGGTGGGAGTTGTTGTTTTTCCAATGAAAGGTAAGATTTAGGTGCAAATTTCTATGAAAAGTTTAGTAAGGCAACAGTCCTGCAATACTTGAGAAAAAAATCCTACTGAAATCAGTGGACAAACTTCTAAGTAAGCACTGATAGAATTAAGAATTGACATTATATATAAGATCATTTTATTTTGAAACAAAAATATATTTGATCCATGCATGCTGTTTTCAAAAGTCTCTTAAATGTCCTATTGTGGGAACAAAAATATTTTTTATCATTTCTTGGCATCCTATCATATTCCATTAAAGTAGATGTAACAAATTCATTTGTAGTAGCTGCCCTCTCCTAATGATGTGCCATTTATTAGGTTTGGAAAATGTTTTTTGTACAATAATTGAACAAGGCCCCATTTTATATCTATCTATTTTTCAGCTGATCTGATTTATGCAGTTGAAAAGAAAGCAACTGTAGTAAAACTATATTTTTGTTTACAATCTCAAACTTCAGACTGATACTTTTCCACTAACTTTTTAAAAATAAATTGGAAAAAGGAACACACATGGCTTTTGGTAGCCAGCTGAAGGTTAATTTATTTTATAAAAAATTAAAAGCTTCTATTGAATATGTTTATGCGTTTACTATGTGTAGAATATGTAATGAATTATAAATTTGGCTCATGCCAACTTTAAAACAAAAAAGAAGCTTAATACTTCTACCTCACTGCAATAGTTACATAACTAGTTAAGACTTTTTATTTAGAAAAAGCATTACTATCCTAATTGCACAATTATTACCTTTAGTTGATAATACATTGACAGTTATAGTATTCTGTCCTGAAACATATGAAAATATAGTAAGAAAAATTCTATTTAGGAAATTTATTTTTACACAAGAAAGAATCAAAATGTAACAACTTAAGGAGTTATTTTTATATTATTAATCGTATAAACATTCAAAGTAAATCTGTTTACAGGTTCAGCCTTAAAATTCATTCAGTATAGGATCTTAAATTTATTGTCAAATTCTCAACATCAAGTCCTTCTAGATTTGAAAATGCTTTGAAAACCTTGTATAAACGAGATGGCTACGATCCCACTTTACAAATTGATGCATAGTCATTTTGTGTATATTGATTTAATACAGTTAATTACTCCGTGGAATTATATAAGGACTCTGAAACTAATATGAGTTTACAGGAAAGAACATCCCAAGTAAATTTTGTGCCTTTCTAATGCTGCTTGTACAATGTACAAGTGCTGTTATCACGATGGAATTTATTTTTATGTTTCTAAGCCAAAGCCAATTTAAATCTGAAAAATTTGCATTAACTGAGAACATGAAGTAACAAACATGACAGTACAGTCTAGAGCTAAGAAAACTACTCACTGTAGTAACTGCAGTTAATAATTCAGCTACAAACAGAAATATAATTATTCCTGTTGGTACTATCATCTTTGGTAAGCAAAGACTTCCTTAACTAAATATCTGATTTGACTTTCAAAATGCATTCACAGATATATGACACATATTTCATGGAAGACATTTAAATACTTTAGAAAATGAATATATATAAACTAAAGCATAATTCCATAGGGGCATGCTTAAAAGCCAAATGATTATTTAACTCCACACTTCTAATGCTGAATGGCAAAATATAAACTAATATATATATTTGTAAACATGTAAATCTGACAAATTTAGCAAATGCACCTTGAGTGGAATACAAGCATGCCTGAAAAATCCATGTAGTTTGGTTGGGAATATAGCAAGGTCAACAGCTTTAAAGAAACATCTCTTTCTCTGATGTAGTTTTCTTTAAAGCTGTCTTGAGTGCCATTGTTCTGCTATAACAAAATGGACAAACAGCATGTTTACAATAGTTTGGTTGTTTAATCTGCATTAGTAGTTTCAATTTTCAACTGTGGCATTTCATTGCACTATGAAACTCTTTTCAAGGTCAGTGGTTTTCATAATGTTTTTGTTATGTCCTTGCATTAATAAAGACAGTGCTTCTTATTTTTGTATATGTGTGTTCATGTGTGCATGGGATAATATATCAAACTCCACAAATATGGCAGTAAATGTGCTTTAATAGGGAGGAGATATGAAATATTTACTGTTCACATTCTTTGAAAATAAGGGACAGAATTTGGGTAATGTACACTTAACATGTGACATATTATCATAGATTTTAGGATCAGCCAGTTTCATTAAGGAAATGAAATGTAGTTCCCAGTTTAGGAGAATTAGGGATAGATGAGTAGCATCTTTCTCTCGGCCATTTAACTGTGCAACATTTTGCCCTAATTATATTTCTTTCAGCAGTACTCATTTCTGATACTAAATCTTGAGAACATTTAAAAAGCTACAGGTGATTGTTTTTAAAAAGCCTCTCTCATACTTCTAGAATGGGAGAAACACAAGACAGTGATAATAGAGGAAGAACAATCCATTCTGTTCTCACTGGGGGAAAATGAGAGGAAGAATCAGATATGTTTAAATAAATCTTTCCAACATATTCAGATCAGGGATGGGTTCCGACAGTCACTACTGCTGGTTTGCTCGTGGGCATACTGCGCACGCTTGATGCGCACATGCACAGTGCAATAAAAATTGTACAGTGCATGCACAGAAGCAAAAAACAAGATGGTGGTGCCTACAGCACCGCCCAGAAAACCGCTTTGGGGGAGAGCTGGGTCACTGTCAGTTCCAGCAACCCAGGTCACCAAACCACTACCAGTTCAGGCAAACTTGTCGGAACCCACCACTGATATAGATGCATCCAAAAATATTGGTACCCTCCACTCTGATGTTTGTTAAGTCTGCTTTGTAGATTATGGACTAAAGAATGGTGGATGCCATTTACAGTATCAATTTCAATATATTTCATGGTGAATTGGGATTCTTTGAGACAAAGGGGAGGGATATCAATACTTCTACATTACTAATCTACATGGGCACTAACAATTGACAACAACTTGGTGATACGCAATTAATGAATCCAATACTTTTGACTGTATTTATATATATATGCAGGAGTGGTAGATGATTTAGAGCAATCTCTCAGCCCAGATGATGTCACAGGGTTGTTGTGGAAAAAAACAAATAAGAAAGGCCATCTTGAAATCCAAAAAAATACTCCAATTAATATTGATAATTAGTATTGCTAATAACACTGGGCTATTTTTCACAATGTGATTTATAAATATGAATTCCTGTCAGAAAACAGGGAAGAACTCTATTTCAAAAACATGGCACCCATGAGGTACAATTTTCACTACCTTCAAACATGTGCCATCTAAAACTGATAATGCACTTTCCTTTCTTAGGAGGGAATATATTATGCACCTTTAAAACTCTTGAAACAAAACAATTGGAATTTTTCCATAAAGCGTTATTTTTCATTTCCCAATACAGTAATATGATTTGCTTCTGCAGAGCAAATACTTCTCCTATAATGAGAATTGGATTAGTTATCCACTATTTAAAAGATAGAGTTGATAGTTAACATCTAATATTACCGCTCAGAGAGTAATAGGCAGACTACCTCTGAGTTAGACATAGTTAGACAATCTAGTGACTCAAACCCAAGCAAAAAGGGTGGAGATGTTTATGTCTCACATGTCAATCTTGCACTTAGAAAGCTGTAAACACTTACAAGAAAGCAATCTTTATGCAGTTGGTTGCTTGCCGCAAAGGGTGATAGAGAAGAAATTGATTAGAACCAAAGGACCTTCAAGATAAAGCTTGCATGCAGATGATGCTTTCTTGCTTCTTCTTCTTAACAATGATGAATCTGAAGGATTCAAACAGAAATTCTTGTTCCTTGTTCCCAGGGAACAATAACTAACAGATTACAACGCAAGAGAGGGTGGAAGAAGAAAGATGTGAGAGACAATGGGAAGAAATGTCTAGAGAAATGAGGAAATCTTTCTTCCTTAAGAGATTAAGAATGTGATGTAAAATTCTCACAATTCCTACTAAACTTGAAAAGCGTTTGGAGACTGCAGCTAGTCCAGAATGCGGCTGCGCGAGCGATACTGGGTGTACTAAGGTACACCCACGTTACACCTGTCCTCCGCGAGCTGCACTGGCTACCAATTGGTCTCCGGATGCAATTCAAGGTATTGGTTATTACCTTTAAAGCCCTACATGGCTTAGGTACACGAGACCGCCTACTGCCACATACCTCCCAGAGGCCGGTGAGATCCCACAGATTGGGCCTCCTTCAGATGCTGTCAGCCAGACAATGTCG